GAGGAGGAGGAAGAGGAGGAGGAGGACAAGGAGGAGGAGGAGGAGGAGGCGGAGGAGGATCAGGAGGAGGATCAGGAGGAGGAGGAGGGAGGGGGAGGGAGGAGGAGGGAGGAGGAGGGAGGAGGAGGGAGTTTTTTTGGATTGGATCTATCGCGAAGCGAATCACACTTGACGCTGACCTTCTCCGAGCCCGCGGCGAAAAGGAAGGACTCGACGACGAACTCTGGATATACCAGCGCTGAGAGAAACAGATCGAAGGGCATGACCATAAGACCTGACGGCTGAAGCTTACGGAACACGTGGTTGCCGTAAATGAGTACCTCCAACAAGCCACATCCCAGAATAAACCAGATACAGCAACGTTGCTCACTCCCTCAGCCCATGCTGATACTGAAAAACTCCGCCCGCCTCGCCACACAAAGCGTATGACCCACATCGCGAGTCGAGGTGACAAAGAGCCACACAGCTGCGCCGACATGCAAACCACAACACTTGAATAACGAGATGCGCAGAATACCCCTTGCTAGGGAAAAACCATTTGCCCAAGCACAACCATCCATTGAAGTACACCCAGGCGGGAGGCGTTGGGTCAGTGCACGTGGGCTCCCACTGTCCCTGCCGCCTGGGATGGATGTCGAAGAGACCGAGCAGGAACGTAAGAGCCAGAAGAATATGCCCAGCATGCTGAAAGACACCACTGCGCAGCAACTCCCACGTGACGAACCGGCTGTAGGTACTCCGCCCCGCCCCAGCAGTCAAACATAGCTTGCAGAGCGAGGGCGCGAACTGGTACACCCAGGCGGGAGGCGTTGGGTCAGTGCGCAAAGGCTCCCACTGTCCCTGCCGCCTGGGATGGATGCCGAAGAACACGTGCAGGAATGAAACCCAGAAGAATATGCGCAGCAAAACATAAGATAAGGCTGTGCGGCTGCTCCCAGAAAGAACACATCATACACCGATCGGAATTCGCTCCGTTTAGCCACTGGGATAGCTGTCCAAAACCAGAGGGATTGACAGAAGTTCGGCTGAGGTGAAATCGGCTCGATGCGGCCCTTGTTCAATGATGTGCAAACACCACTGGTCATCGGGCAACCCCCAAGAGGGATCGCCTCCTCCACAGACAGCCCCACAATAGCAATACAAAGGACGAAGGATGCTACCCAGTGCCCCTCAGGCGCCGACGTGGAGGCACGGAGCTAGGAGTCCCATGGCAAGTGTGAGCCCACATGGGTACGACACGCGCCTCGGGCCCCCTGTGCTTGAGAGGGGAGGAGGAGGGAGGAGGAGGGAGGAGGAGGGGAGGGGAGGGGGGAGGGAGGAGGAGGGAGGGAGGAGAGGGAGGGAGGATGGAGGAAGAGGC